TGGGATCAGGAAGATCTGGTTTGGAATCCTAGCTTTGCCTCTTAGTAACCCTTCAACCTCAAGCAAGCTACTTAACATATCTGAGCAAAGGTACCAGAAGGTGTTAATGTGATGTTAATACCCACAGGGCCAGGAGGAGGCTGCACAGGAGACAGTGGACCCGAGGAGGGGCATAGCAGAGACGTGGCACTGTGTGTTCTGAGCAGACTTATCCGGAGGTTTAGCTGCACTAGAAACACCCTGCTTTACTGGAATTCTTCTTAAGAATCCTCTCTTGTCCTAGCAATACTTTCTAAACATGAGAGGTAGCACAGAGCAGGACTTAGTGCAGGGACTTTGTCACACAGCCTTCTGTGTGATCTGCCATCTGAAATCAAAGGCTAGAGAGGAAAACTTTTAAGAATAAATTAGGTGAATGAGAGCTAAGTTTACGGATCAACCCAGGAAGCACAACTAAACAGAGTTGGATGTGTTTTCCGAAGGTCTGTGAGAACCTTTGAGCTTATGTAATGGAAGAGGGAGAGGGGTGAGTGGGGTGGTCCCTTCTCGGGAAGTCTCATCAATCAATGGTTATATTTAATTGGAACAAAGCAAAGGTTTGACATTAATTCTATCTCAGTGTGCAGCTTTTATCTGGCTGCCACAAACATAGCAAGTTTTAACTCACAAAAGCAAACTTACAGCAAATCTTTGTGATGTGTCATCATTCTGGGAGCAGGATGTCCCAAATCAGTCACAAGCCCAAGGTCCCAAGGCAAATATGTCAGTTGACATTCCTGCCTGCTTTGGTAAGACATCGGTCAGCAAGCTAGCTTCTCTGCTCTTTTTAGAAAGCCTTGACTGAACCGGTGCCATTTTCTGTCATGAGATCTTTGGCAAATTAATCCACTTCTCAGTGTCTCCATCTGTGAAATGGGGATCAGAATAACAGAGACACCATAGACTCCATCTCAGGCGGCTGTAGGGGACAGTCAAGAGCGTGGGTCTGTGGCCACCTGGACATGTGTTCAGCCCTAAACTATGCAATTTGAAATAGTTTAAAATATACTCTTCTGGTCAAATGCTGGATGTCTGCCAATTCCATCCAATCTTAGACCCTGGGGGAGGTGGGCCTGAGGCTGAGAGTTAGGTTTAGAAGGGATAGAATGTGACAGCCCTGCAGGACATGGTGCCGTCTTTCGCGGTATCACCACTGTTGTTCTTAGTCTTTCTAGCTGCAGGGGGAGGAGCCCAGGAGGGGACAGGAAGCAGCAGGATGCTGCTGTGGCTCTTCCCATGTGGCAACAGCAGCTGCGAGCCGCTCCTGCAGCCTACCTGCGGCGCTGTGGATTTTCTTACTATACCATACAATCATATTCAAACGTTGACAAAAAGTGCTTTTCCCAGTTAGAGAGAAATGTTGCACTATTCATCATTCTGAATTAGTCACACTACACATCTTTATTAAACCTGAAAAGATGAAGAATTGACTCTTGTGAAGAGGTACTGAGATTTTGAATAGAACTAATATAGAGATCTCTTGAGAAATGTAAATCTTTTCATTTATACTGGCATCTTACTTAGGCTTTTAGTCTCCTTATTAGAGTCATGCAGTTGACTAAAAAAAAAAGGTGTCAGAATGTTTTCCTAATTGACAGACTTGATTGACAGAACAGTCCCCGAAGTACCATAATTGAGCAACTTGTCACCATACAAATAATTAAAATACCATTTAGAAACTGTACACTGTAACAAGTGCTAGCTCAGATGTGTTCACAGCTACTCGTCTGAATGCAGATCTTCCAGTGGTGTGAGCCCTTTTGTTTTGTTTTGTTGCTTCTTGCAGACACTGTAGATCAAGCAGGGGTTAATGAGCCATTGCAAGGGTTGGGGGGGGGTGTGCTCCTGACAGGAGGTATTTTTTTCCACGCAGGGTGGCAGAGTCTAGAAGGAGGCTGGCACAAATGACCGTTTACTTGCCCTAAGCTGAAACTACCAGCAGCCAACTGAACAACTCCCATTTAGTTTTTGTGTCTGTGTGTTCCTTTCTGTGTTCCTTCAAACATGGCACACTGCATGGATTTCATTTTGTTTTTTTAAAGCAGCAGATGGAAGTAACAGCTATCCTGCCTTGCTGCTGCATCCTGCCGGCAGAGGCACACATCAATCTGTTGTCACCAAGAGCTTTAGTTCACGTTTGGATCTCAATTCATTCCAGACTGGTTGGAACAGAAACATCTTCCTCTTCAGTGAGGCGCCTGCAGCCTCTTTTCCCTCTTGCTTGACTAGGGAGTCTTTGTTCCCGGGCATTAGTCAGGCTGGACTGGCTCCAGGACCACGTCTACCCTGTCTGAAAACCTGCAGGTTGTTGGTTGAGAAGAACCAATATTATTCATAGGATCCACAGATGTTGGAACTAGAAGGGGTTTTGTTAGAACATATTGTTTTACAGATGAGCCGACTGGGGGCCAGAGAGTTCTCTAGTTGTGAGGCCTTTGCTGGGACTCCAGTCTCCCAGTCCAGTTCTTCCCAGGCTGTCACCTGCCTGCATCCTGAGCTTTTTGGTGAGTGGGATGCAGTTTGTTCCTGTGCATTTTAAGAGAGGAAATGACTGAAAGATAAATGATTTCTCCAAGGTGATACAGCCTGAAGTTACTGTGGGCTTGAAACCGGGGTTTTTGACATTGTAACTGCAGTGCCATTTCCACTCTAGTGTTAAAGGAAAAACTTTAGATAAATAAAATTTAACTGAGTTTAATTGAACAAAGAATGTTCAGCGAATCGGGCAGCCCCCCAAACCAGAGCAGGTTCAGAGCGACTCCAGGGCCACCTCACAGGCAGGTAACATTTGTGGACGGAAAGGACGTGGAAGGGAGGTAAGAAGCAGCTGGATTGGTTAAGTTTCCCTAATTTGCATGTGGGTTGAAGAGCTGACCACGTGTGATTGGCTGAGAATCAGCTTCTGTGATTGGCTGAGACGCTGCTACTTGTTACAAGAATAGGTTACAGTATGTTTGAGCATCCAGTTAGGTTCTGGTTCACTAAGTCCGGAGAAACCTTTAGGCCAAACTTAATTTAACACTAGAATCAGACCGCAGTGTCACTGGATTGTTCCATCCATATGGAGCTTAGCCCTGCCATGGATCAGGCAGAATCCTAGACTATGCTCTGTCCTTCTCCTTTGACATGTCACCTGGCCCCATGGCTTTTTCACCAGGGCTGTGTCTCAGTGATCACCCCATGTGTGTCTCCCATTCAGTTTGCTGTGTTGTGGTTGTTTAGACAAAAAGCCCTGTGAGAACAGGGCCAGGTTGTTTGCTGTAGCATCAGCTCCTGGCACAGTGGGGATAAATGTTGGTTGAATGAGCTCTATCTAGTCCACCAGCCTGAAGCCCACAAACCCCTCTCCTGGGGCCTGGGGATCAGAAGCTTAGGGAGGGGCAGCTCATTCAAGGCCTGGAAAGAGCCAGATGTCCATACAAGATGTGGCAGAAGTCACAGAGAAGTGGGGGTGCTGGGTGACAGTGTCCTCCACGTCTCCCCAGTACTGGGTGGTATTGGATTATAGGGACTGCTTCTTGAGTGAACACGCACAGGATTGGAAGGAGGTAGGTTGCACAGGAGATCTTAAGTGGGAGGCCAGGGGGAAAACTGGAGGTAGGAGGAGGAGAGGACATTAGCATTAGAGGTAAGAGCTTTTCAAGATGAAAAGATAGGATGGAGCTCTGAGCATCTGCTAATCTTGCAGAATGGGACCTACTGAGCTGGAAGCATGGAAGGAAGCCCTTGAATGGTTGGGACTCGCCTGCTTTGGGGCCACTCAGCCTTTTCCATTTAGTCTCCAAACATTTATTAAGCACCTCGTGCTGGCCAGTTGCTCGATTGGTTAGAATTTGGTGCTGACAACACCAAGGTCCAGGGTTCAATCCCTGTGTCCCTGTACTGGCCAGCCACCAGAAAAACAAAACCAACCAACCAACCAAACAAATATTGAGCACCTCATGTGGCCTTGAGACATTTTTTAAAGATAATGATCCTGGGAAGCATAGTTCATTACTACTGGGTTGGGGATTATGTCACAGCAGGATTTTAATCTTGGGAACAACTAAACTGATGTGCTTTACATGAGCTATAAAGAAAATGAGCCTGATTCCCACCCTGCACCTCCCAGCCTCCCACCAACAGGAGCATCAAGAGTTAGGGGCATTGGCCTGTGGATTCTGTGTGGGCAAATAAGGTTGTATTCCTTACTTGTGTGATAACTGCTTAGGGATTCTGGAGAGTAGAATTGGCAAGTCTTCCTTGTTTTCACTGCTACCTGTTTGTAAGTCCTAGAAGCGCCCTAATTGTTTGGAGTTGTATATTTGAAGAGGTGTGTATAGGAAACTGATGAGCCTGGACTTGTTGAAATTTGGTCTCCTAGGGCTTGGCCTGCAGCCTCAGATGGGAAGAGAGGCAGAGAAGGGAGCGTTTGTTAGTGTCCTCCTCGTCCAGCAGGGAGTTTAACCCTACTTATCAAGACTACAAACCTACTGGTTTAAAATAGAGCGATGATAGCTAATAAATAGGCAGGTGAGTGAGGAAAGGCAGCTCCCACGTGAATAATGCAGGAGCTGCATGAATGGCGATGAGAGAGAGTTCATTGATAAATTTCATGCCAGATGGTCAATGGCCACCCAGGAGACAGCACTCAGGAGAGCCCGATTGACTCAGTCATTGATTCAGAGCTAATGCAATTTTAATGGCTACCCAGATGCATTTTCTAATTGGTGATTACATCATTGTGTGTTTCAGAATCAAGCATGAATCATCCTCCAGTGATGATGAGCATGCAGCTGCCAAGCCGACGAACGCAGGCCACCTCCCTCTTTTGTCTAACGTCAGCTACAGAAAGACTCTCCGGCTCACTTCAGAGCAGCTGGTGCGTCTCCCGTTGTCACTGAGGTGTTGTGAGTCCTCGCTGCGCTAGTGTTCCTTCCACTTCCGCTTCCTGGTGTGCCTGCAACCCTCTGGGGACCCCAAGCCCCTCAATTGTCACCCCATGTTTCCACCCTGACGTCCCTTTTGTCTTCCCCTTTTTCTGACCCAGCCCTGGAGGCTCTTGTTTTCATGAGCTGGGAGGAAGGCAGCCTGATCGAGCTAGTCTGTCTTGAGGTATCAGTGACTCAAAGGTGTTTTCATTTTATGAGAGGTTTTTGTTAACTCAAATGTATCCCTTAAATTGGTGGAAATCAAGCTGTTGTGATGGGATTTAGAGAATTTCAGGTAGTAAGGGGCACCATCTGGTCCCAATGTCTTTTTTTTTTTTTTATGTGTAAGACCAGTTATAATTAGGTCCCTTGCTTCCCTGGGTCCTCTTTTAAACCATGACCTGTCAGTGAGCAAATATCCCTGCTTTTTTGCANCACAAGCTGCAGTGCTCATAGAGTTGGGTTTGGTGCCACAAACACTTGCGGATAACAGATCCATTTCTGTCAAAAATAGTTGTCGACTTCATTGTGTACTTCTAGCAAACGGGTAACCAGGACTTGCCCAAACAAATGTACCAAGAGCCTCCTGGGGCCACCCCTGGATGGGTGCAACTGAGGAACGGTCCCCCGCGGGGTCCTGCCCTGGGCCTCAGGGGTGCCTGTA